GCTGATTCTACCTTTATCTTCTTGAAGATTTGTAACTGGATCAAACTTCTTTCAGACTATCCCATTTTTTTTTCCAGGTCTTTAGGTATGATGCATAGCAAGAAAGACCCTGTCTTAAAAAAAAAAAAAAAACCAGCATTTATCTCCCCCACCTAACATTTCAAGAAAAAGCTTCTATTGATATTTGATGGGGTTTGAGGTCAGAGACAAAGAAGCCTGAAATAGCTTAAGATCAAGCTTGCCCTGGAAGTGCTGCTCTCTGTGCCTCTCTGTGGTATCAGTGAGACTCTTGCCTCTTGTAAGACCCCCCTGAACTCATACCTCCCTTACCAGATATTAGCCATTCCTTTTATGACCCACCTCCCCTGCACTCATGATCTTCAGTCCCTCCTACTCTCAAAATCTGCCTCCTAACCTGTTTATTTTGCCAGGAGAGCTAGCTAGCCTGCTTGCTTGATTTGTTCGTTTGTTTGTACTGAGGTTTGAACCCACGTCCTTGTACATGCTAGGCGAGCGCGCTGCTGCTGAATACATCCTTGGCCCTGTTTTTGTGACTGTTTGGAGACAAGGTCTCACTAAGTTGCCCAAACTTGCCTTGAACTCTAGCACTTATGATCTCCCAGCGTCAGCCTTCTGAGTAGCTGGAGTAACAGATTCGAGCCTCCAGATGACACTGGGTGACTCACAGCCCTTCCTCTACACTCCAACAGCTCTACTGCCCCAGTGACTCTTGCTGAGACAAAGGACCTGCCAGGAGGCCCACAGGACCATGGCCATCTTCATAGCCAGCTCTCCAGCAGCTAGGGAAGGAGGAAGAGTCTCAAGAACAGAGGAGGAACCTGCAAGTTAGGAATGGATTTGATCTTTGTTTCCACACCCCCTTCTCTTTGTTTGTCTTCTTTAGGTGTCCCCCTTTCTGGCCTTAAGATCAATGAGGGTTTACATTCACTGAGCTCAGAGACGCTCCTCTCTGAGTTTCTCCCCACTTCTGTGTCTCTGAACTGTCTGGCCAGACAAGCTCGGTCCAGGGAAGGAGCAGGTGAGTGGTACACTCAGATCTGGGAGAAGGGGCTCCTTAGCCCTCTCCTGTTCTTCAGATCCCTTCTGTCCGTAAGGCTTCTGTCCATTCTGGGCTGTATATGGAAGAGAGAAGGCTTCCACATCCCTCAGTGGCTTCCTACTATTGCCTTGTGAGCACCTTCTGCCAGTTCTCACCTGAACAGTAAGATAAATGTCTCCTATTTGTGCAGCCTCTGCTGATCTGTGCCTTCAGGTGTTGTTGTGTCTGGCCCTCCTGAGCCCTCCTCTGCTCTGGGCCTGGGCTCAGGCCCCATCTGCTACCCAGACACTCGAGTCTCTGCTGCTAACCACATTTCTTCTTTCTTCCCTGTGCCCTGGAACACCCTCCCTGTCCCAGGCCCTGGCTGTTCTCACACACTGAAGCCTCTCTACTGGGCAAGTCTCCACCCAGCCTGAGGCTGCCTAACAGGTAGGAATCTCCTGAGCTCCCAGCATGTTTGGCAGATGCTGAAAGAGAAGCAGCAGTCTTGTGGAGCTGTGGGCCATAAAAGTAATTCTCCAAGTCCCCTCCATTTCTGTCCCAAAGAAGATTCATGGCCTTCTGTCATTGCCAGTGACAGCTTCTCCCTCCTTGGGTCTCTGGCAATCCAGCAGCTATAAGAAAACTCAGGAGAAAGTCAGGTGAGATGGCACGCATTGGTAATCTCAGCACTGGGAGATAGGCAGGTGGATTGCTGCAATTTTGAGACCACCTGGACTATGTAGCCAGCTTCATGGGGAGACAAATCAGAGATCAGGGAGAAACAGGCAGGTGAGGAGAGACTGGAGGCCCTCACCGCAGCCATTCTTTACCACCTTATGATTCTGTCTGCTAAAAGAAAAAAAAAATCAACTCCTGGTGCTGACAGTGGCTGAAAACTGCTGAGTGCAGTCAACCCTCCCACTCCAGCAAGGAATCCGAGCCGTGAAATGACCTGAGGTCATAACAGGAGTCAATACCAGGGATAAACCTGCCCCCAAGAACCAAGGTGCCAGCCACTTCTAGGCCTTGATGCTCTCAGATCTGGGCATCCAACCCCCTGGTAGGAGCCAGTGCTAGAGACTCAGAATCATCTCTTCGAATTCCTTCTCCTTGGCAGTCAAGGGCCTGGCATATGAGTTCTGGGAAAGCGCAAGGCAGAGAGAGTGTGAGCTCACTCCCGGTTGTATATCCTTAGGTGAGTGTCCCTACCTCTCAGCCCATTTCCCACAAAGCACAGGACTCTGTTCTCTGTAAAGGATAGGACCTGGCCCACAGCTGCTGCTCAGCAAAGGGAACACTCTCCCTCTCCCTCCCCACCCTTCCTCACAATCAATACCTGCTCCATTGATGGATGATGGAGACAGTGATGGATTACAGCAGATCAGGGAGTTGGCCTGTTCTTATACAGCCCTAGAAACTCAGAGCCAGGGAGAAACATGGGACAGGGGATGAGCTCAGAAGACTAGGGAGGGTTGCCAAGGAGCTGGGGTGGAGTTGAGGAAGTTGCTGAGGGTGGAGTCAAGGGCGTAGGTGTGGGAGTTAGAGGGTGGTGTGTGGGAAGCCGCAGCGTACCCCACCTCCCTCCAGTAGGAAGGCTAGACCTGGGGGCCAAAGACAGCTGTTTGCTCAGAAAAGTGTCTTCGTCACTAAAGGCTGCTGTGGGGAAAGTCCATTCTCTGTCATGCCCTGGGAATCCGGATGGACACAGGAAGGCCACTGAGTAACACTCAGAGTGGCCACCTGTCCTCTCTGGACTCTCTCCTTTGCCTCCTACACACACACACACACACACACACACACACACACACCCTACAGAAGCTCAACTTTGCTAGGCCCTCCTATTGTCACCTCCCCCACCCCCTAGGAAGAACTCTCTCTATGCCTCCCTCCTCTCACTATCAGTGCACATGACCCTCCATGAGGTGCTGACCTTCAGAGATGCCCGCTGGGACCTCTGTAGGTGCTTCTGAAATCTAGCTTCCATCCCTACAAGAACTACGGTCTCTTACCTGGCCCCAGCCTTTGATGGAGTAATATAGATTGTGAATTGGAAAAGATGACGAGACCCTCTCCCTGCAGAGTTCCATTCACAGAGGGAAGAAGCCTGGCAGTCTCCCACATGGGAAGAGGAGCATGAGTTCATAGGTGCTCAACTGGAGGATCAGATTTCCCAGAACAGACCCAATTTTAGATAGTCCGAGTGCTGATGAGGCCAACCCGAATTCAAGTTCCATTTCAGCTAAGATCAAAGCCTCAAAAGACCCCAGCAGCCACTTTCCATTGTGTAATTTGAATTCTTGACTTGAGTCCCATCCCTGGGCCTCTGATGGAGTACTGTAGTTTACCAGTCAGGAGAGGCAATGCCATATATGGGGTGGGGGATATACTGTCTTCAGCTTATAGGGAGAAGATAGCTATATCTAGCCCTGGCACTGCAACCACAGTGGAGCCCTGAGGTCTAGAAACCTTCAGTTCTCAGTAGGTCAGGGCATGACCTATGCAGGAGCAGCAGGCCCTGCGCACTCCCAGTCCCAGCAGCAGTGGGAGAGATTCAGGTTAGACCTCAGAATGCATCCCAGCTGGGCAGGAGAAGAAAGGGTCGCTAGGGGTTGGAGTACGGCTGGCTGCCAAACCTAGCTTGAGGACCTCGGATCCTACACAACCTCCCGGCCCATATCCCTCCCTCCAGCCCTCCCGCTCTGGCGCTCAGCAGATCAATGCTGCCTTTGCTGACAGCTGAGAATCGAGCTTGCAGCCCGCCCCTTCCCCCGCCCCTCCGGCTAGCTGTGTCCCCCGAGATCCTCCCCAGGAGTGGAGAAGAGTTTGCAGCGGAAGCGCTTCACCCTGGGGCAGGGCCTGCGGAGGGAGCGTCTGGTTTGGCCATCGCTTTAGGCTGAGAAAGAGGGAAGAAGGACCAGCAAACCCGAATCATCACTTAGCTCTGGGTCAGGAGGGCTAAGGAAAAGGGCCAGCCAGCTCACAGCTGCAGACGGAGATCAGGCACCGGAGAACTTTTTGCTGGAGAGGGGTGCTCCTAGAGAAAGCCTGGGTGGGGCCTTTGCGAGTGCCCTGTCCGTTCCCCTAGTACTGGCTCAGCGTTTACTTCTATACTTCCTATCCGCCTTAATAAACAAGCTTTCCTGGCTAGAGAATGGGAGAGGGGGGATTCCACGGAGGCGGAGATGGGGTGGGGAGATGAGGGCAGGTCCGTAATCAGGGAGGGAGCGTCACCTCTGCTCGGGGGTGGTCAACTGGTCTCCTCCTTCATCAACTTCGAGGAGAGACGCATCTGCGCTCAGCTGTGAGCTACACCGCCCCATACATCTCGGTAGCTGTAGGGCACCAGGCCCTTCAAGTAGCAGCAGGAGGAAACTGCTGTCCCAACTTTACTCAGCGCTCAGCGCATTTTAAACACCCTGCACAAGAAACCAAGGGCACGACCCGACGGGCACACCTCCTCGCTTACACCACCCATTGCGCTGCACTGCCGGGCTCTCCACACCCTTCTTCACTCCCATCCATCCATCCATCCATCCACCCACCCACCCACTCACACTGAACCCACGCAGACCCACGGCTGGCCAGCCAACTCGCACAAGTAGGCACTTCTCTGGACTCAGACACCTCCACTCCACAATATGAGTGTCCCTCGAACGACCGCGGCCACAACTCCACAGTCCACGCCTCACTTTCCACAACCACTGACCAGACGTCCCAACCTCCCTCCCCAGAGCCGGCCACTAGGGCCACCACTCCTACACGCCCGGCCTCGGGCCCCGGCGCGCTGCCCGCGCTACGCGCTCGGGGCCGGGACACACCGACTGGGCGGACCGCGCGCCCAGCCCCGCCGCGTCGGGCGCGGGTCCCCCTCCCCGTGCTCTCGTCTCTCGCTCCCTCCCGATTTGGGAAGGCGGCCGCGGGGCGGGCGGGGGAGGGGCGGGGCGGGGCGGGGGAGGGTGACATGTGAGCGGCGCGCCGGCGGCAGGTGGAAAGGCGAGCGGCATGGAGCGCGTAATAAGAGAGTTGGAGTCGGAAAGAGCCGCCCCAGTCGCCGGGGAAGCGGGCGGTCAGTACGGGCTCCCGCGGCCCCGAGGCTCCGAGCGACCGCCTCCGGACCCTGTGCGGACCCAGCCCGGTCCCTAGCCCCCGCCGCCTGCGTGCGCGCCCAGGGTCGCCTCGCCGGCCCGGGGTTCGAGCCATGAGCCTCTGAGCCGCCCGAGTGCGCCCCCGCCCCGCAACGCCCCGGCCCCCTGCCCAGCGCCGCCCATGGCCGAGGCCCCCCCGCGCCGCCTCGGCCTGGGCCCCCCGCCCGGGGACGCCCCCCGCGCGGAGTTGGTGGCGCTCACGGCCGTGCAGAGTGAACAGGGCGAGGCGGGCGGGGGCGGCTCTCCGCGTCGCCTCGGCCTTCTGGGCAGCCCCCTGCCGCCGGGCGCGCCCCTCCCTGGGCCGGGCTCCGGCTCGGGCTCCGCCTGCGGCCAGCGCTCCTCCGCCGCGCAGAAGCGCTACCGCCGCCTGCAGAACTGGGTCTACAACGTGCTGGAGCGGCCCCGCGGGTGGGCCTTCGTCTACCACGTCTTCATGTGAGTTGGGGACCCCGCACCCCTTTGCGTGCCCCGGCGCTGACCCCGCGTGAGCCACACTCCTTGGGGACCGCCACTCCGCGCTGGCTCCACCTCTCTATCCTCCTGCCCCAGGCAGACCCTAAGTGCTCCCTCTCTGACCTATGCCCCCTTTTCGGTCTCCCAGCCTGGCCTAACCCCTGATCTCCTATCCTTGACCCCTGTTGCCCTCGAGTCTAACCTTTTCTGCCTGCTTTCCTCCTGATCGCAGAGGCAGAGCCCCACTGCTCTGGCCCGGCACCCAGCTTCTTGCTCATCTCTTCTTTACCAAGTCCGAAGCCACTAAAGTGACTCTCCTTTTCTTATGTTCGCCTCACGCTCCCTGTGTTCCAGACACAGAAGACCCTAGCCCCTACATTTTTTCCCTCCTCTCAGGCTCTGTAGCTGTGTTGTGCTCCCACCTGGTCCCCTTGGAGATTTCTCTCTTCAGAAACAGGCTGGACCCAGCTCAGGGCTGGCCTATGATTGTCTAGGTATCTAGGGTCCCAATGGCCCTGACAGGCCTGTGTGCTGTTTCCAACTTGATCTGTGTCTTCTTTAGTCTGCTCTGCACACATAACTTCGAAGTACCCGAGGCAGCAGGCTGCCCTGTCCTGCCTTGCCCTGAAGGATGGGCCCAGCTCTCCTGCCTTGCTGGCCAGCTGTACTAGGCCTGGCTCTGGGTTTGGGGAAAAAGAAAGAAGAGAGGGGTATGTTTGGAAACAATGCCACCGTGGGGCCCCTCCTCCCCTCAGCAGGCTCCTACAACTTTCAAAACACTGACCCCTCTTGGATGTAGAGAGTGAATTTTGGCAACTCAGAAGGCAGTCTTGGGGAGAAGGCCTGGCCGGGCCAGGAACATGAGAGGCCCAGGCCATATCGGTTAATGGGCTGGGCCTAGTGCTCAGAGGCTGAGAAGTGCCTGGGAGAGACATCGAGCTGCTCTTACCACTGCCCGCTTCAGGGTCTCCTGAGCAGCCCACTTTGTCCACCTGATCGTCACGTGACAATCTGTCCCTGTCCCTCTACTGGACTTGAGTTTCCCTTTGTGTGTGAGTTAGCTTGTCTGTTAATCTCTCCACCTGTCTGTCCCACAACCTTTCTGTCAGTCTGTCTCCATGCTTTGTGAGCCTACCCTCTTATTTTGATACCTATGTGTCCATCTGTCTATCTACCTGGCCACCCTTCTATGGCTTTTCCTGCCTGTGTCGTTCTGCTTGTCCACATATGTATGCCCTCCTGCCTCTGCCCCACGAGTACAGGGACCACAGAGTCTCAGGGGGGGAGAGGAAGGTGGTACCAGGAAGAGCACAGGAAGGGAACTTGCTATAGACCAACCATTAAGTACCTAGAGGGGGCAGCGGTGGTGTCGTGCAGACCCCTGTGGCGTCGTGCAGAGACCTCTCAGGTTAAGACTCTTCAGGGTGTAAGGTCAGGCTTTGGATCCCAGTGAATAATCAGGAGCAGCTCACATCTCAGTGTGCCCCAAAAGACCTAGACGGCATCTGTCAGATGTAACTTGTCAGTGGAGTGATATAGTTCAGTGCTGGTGGGTTAGGGGCCCCAGTGTCCATTGAAAGTTAATGCACCAGAGCCAGAGGTATAGCTTACTGACAGAGCCTTGGGTGCCATCATCAAAAGAAAAGGAAAAAGAAAAGAAAGAATATATGTGCTCAAGGAGGCTAAGACACAGGGCACAGCTGTGCCTTCCATAGGCTCCTCCCTGGAGGTGACTTTTCCAAGTCAGTTGGCTGTAGCGTGGTTCCTCGGCCTCAGGCTGGGACAGTGAAGTGGTGATGAAAGCAGCATGACCCAGACCAACCAGTGCTGTAGCTCTTTTAGAGGGGCCTCCCCTTCCTCCTAGGAGCTAAATCGGATGACACCTTTGCCCCACATCCTGCTCTCTCCGGATGCCAGGAATGCCCTGGCTAGGAGCATCCATGTACTGAACACTTGTCTTCAGGAGCTCAGGGTGGAAGCATTAATTGAAGCCCTAGGGGAAGAAACATGGTGTGACAGTGTCTGGATGTTTAGGAATCTCAGAGAACTGGCCATGGATCTTGGAAGTCAAGGAGACCGAGATGCCTGAGCCCCTTCCTGTTTCGTGAGGTGTGACATTGTGTTAGCTAAGAGCCTTTCTGAGCATTAGATCTGTAGGTCATTAGAGTGGGCAGAAATCTCAAATTTTGGGACTTCTTCATGGATGAGCTAATGGGTGGGAAAGAGTTGATTGAACAGCTGTGTGGGTGAGAGGAATAGGAATGGGTGTTAGTATTGGGGGTGGGGGAGGGAGCCTACACAGAAGTGTCTCCTGTTCTCTATGAGTTCCAGATATGGACTTTCTCAGCCTCTCCCAGTAGGGTCTTGCATGCTCTTACTAAGAAGTGCTTAGAGTAGCATTTCTAGCTTAACCCCACCCACCTCAAGTTGAGTGGGGTGGGGTTCCTATGCATGGGGCATGAGTTAAGAGCCTCAACTAGGACCTGTTTTCAGAGTCCCAGGCCATGAGTGGGGTTCCCACAGAAATGCCTAGGAGAGAGAATTTGGGAAAGAAGATGCTGATACCTCCCTCCCACCAGTCAACTGGCCTCCCAGGATCTACACCTTCCAGGACACTCAGGGATAGAGAATTTAGCCTCTCTTGCTCTCAGCTGTGCCTTTGGAAAATGAACTCAGCCTGTCCTGTCTTCTCCTTGTAAAGACCAGATGAAGGGTCACTGGACCCTTCTGGGCTCTCTCTGTCTCTAGGCCCTTAGTCCTACCACTTTGCCCTTCACCCCAGTGCCCCTGCCACTGGCATGTATCTCCCCTTCCACAAGACCTTGCTCTCGGCACTTTACCAAGTCCTCATTACTGACTCCCTAGGGGCAGACTCATTCCTTGTGATACCCCTCAGACCACAGCAGCACCTTCAGAGTCCCAAACGTGGAAGGGGCTGCAGCAGAGCACACCCCTCCCCCATGCCCACTATGCTTCCCTGGCCTGTTATGTGCTCACCATTCAACCCTTGCTCCCAGCCCCCAGCAAACTTCTCTAAGTGAAGGTTTAAGGCTCTGTAAACATCCTCTCTCAGCCTTGCCCCTGGGGTCAGAAACTGTGGGAATGGGATGAGGAGGAGGGTAGCCACAGTTCTCCAGGCCTGTACACTCCTAACCTTGAAGTCCCCCCACCCCCGACCTCCTACCCCAAGCTTGTGAGACAGAGCATAGCCTGGGCTAGAAGTTATCCCAGCACAGGACACCCAGACCAGACCAGGTCAGTTCTTACATTCTGACTGTCCCATCCTTTCTCAGAAAACTAAGGCTCTGGAGACCAAAGTCATGTGACAGATTGGTGGTAGAAGCAGAAGGCCAGACCTTGAGTTCAGACTCCCTATCCAGAACCATTCCCTTTGCTCACTGAGGCCACCTGGTGTGGCCCTTAGAGTTCAAACTGAGTTTTCTGCCTTTGTGCAGGTGCACACCCTCACAGCCTGGTGAGGCAGGCCCTGTTTGTCCTCCCCAGTTGACAGATGAGGAAAAGGAAGCCCAAGACAGGCCATACAGTTCACAAGGAAAAAGCCTCAACCCAGAGCTGTCTGTCATCCACCGACCTAAGCTGGGTCAGGCCCCAGGCCTCCAGAGCATCTGTGTCCCTAGTACAAAGTACACCTGCAGCCAGGGGGTGGTGATAAGATTTTATAGCATTAAGTGGGAATTGCTCCACTGTTTCTGGGGGCAGTCAAGATTTCGTTGCATAGAATAGTCCTGCTGCATGCTGTACTCATCACAGCCGGACAGAGATGTCACGCATGCACACGTGGCATCATCCAGGAGAAGGAACTGCTGCTCCACCTTCTCACTGGCTTCATAGACTAGGTCATGTCAGATCAGGGGGGACTCCTCCCTTGGTGCAGTTTCTGCCTTTTCCTTTCCCAGGGTTTCAGGCTACCTTATGAGCAGCCTGGAGTCTTTGATACAGTGGGGTTGGCTTGGCCTCCTCCCATAGGGCCCCCGAGCCCCTTTGCCCAACCCTGCTGTGGCTGGGTCTATCAGGCATAGAACAGGACACACTCTCCTCCAAGGTGACACTCAGCCTCCCAGACAGCACTGCAGAAACCTGATGCTCCAACACCTTCACGATGTGACTGGGAAGGACTTGGAGTGTGTGACCCATGGCACTTTTGTGCTTCTGTTTTTCCTTTATAAGGAGTGGGAAAGTGAAGATGTCAATTCTTCAACGGCTTCTTTGCCCCTTTGCTTCCCCTGGCACCAGCCGTTCCCTCCTTCTGGGTCAGGCCACTGTCTATCTGTCCTGCTCCAGATCTTAACACATTTTTCCTTCTCACGGAGGAAGCCCTTCTGGAAATCTGTCTACAAACCCCGCTGCCGAGGAAGTCCATAATCACACAATCTTAGAACCAGGCGTGCTGCTTTAGGAGGTGGTCATTCTTGGGCTGGAGGCAGCACTTGGAGTGGGTGATTAATTTTAAGTTCTCGGAGCCATCAAAGTCACTCAAGTGGCCCCAGGAGCAGGGGGAGGAGGCTCTGTCCCAAAGGAACCCTGTGGGGAACTCTCACCTGGACAGCCCTGTCATGACGACTGAGGGGTGGGAGGCAGATGGGAGGCTTTCCATCTCCCCAGAGCTAGTTCCACAGGGACCTTTGGGCTTGCAGATGGGGTTTGTTTCTGCAGCTGCCCTGAGCTGCTGTGAAAGTTGCGAAGTCTCTCTGAGCTCTGGCTGTCTAATCTGAAGAGCAGGGACCACAGTTACCTCCAGGTGGCCGAGGCTGAGGAAGGAGAGCAGCCAGTGAATCGGTGTTCTGATGGTCTGACAGGGTCCTGGGCTCAGCAGGCAAGTGTGAACACTGAGGAAATAGTGGGGGTGGTATTGCCTATGTCACCTGTGTGTCTGGCAGGAGCCTGACGCTATGTCTTTGTGGGCTTCTGTGGAGCATGCTCCGGGCTCATCTGAACTTTTTTCTCTTTTAGAATGAATCTCC